CTAAGGCTACTTCTACTTTTATTAATAAGCATTTTGTCTGTATTAGTCAGCCTTCTGTCTGTTTTACTAATGTATTGGTAAGCTATTACTAATGTTTGTTAGAGTATTACTATATTTTGGTAATTCATAGCTGTTGAGCATAGACCTTTACTAAGCATAGTTTCTAGATTACTAAGAAGCTGAGTCATATTATTAGTTATTGATTCACTTTTAGTAAGCTTGAGTGTTTATGCTTACTTTGCAGCTCTGAGTAAGCGGTTTCTTTTTGATTTGAATACCTATTATTCCTTTAGTTTTTCTATACTTATAGTTATGGTGCATGACAGCGCTTGTAAAACGTGCCATTCTACTGCCATAGCCAACAATCTACATATTCACTGGTCTCAAAGCTATAGACAATCAGAGTTCTCAATGATTCATCAGCGCACAACGCCAGTTCCAATCTCATCCCTAGTCGCGGTGTTTAGTTCATTCAGAGGCCGGGGATGAGAGCCAGGCCAGCCGCCTTCAGGTCTGCCTGGATTTTTTCCTTGTGCTTCAAGAATTTTGCCTCTAGACCCTTGTTCCCACCTTTATAGGCTACGTCAAGTTCATTAGTCAGAGGTGTCAGGATGCCGTGAGATAGAAAACAGTGCTTACATTGACACCTGTTGTCTTTAGCGGCGTACTCAGTGAGACTCATCAGCATGCTCATCTCAAACATAATAACTGCACATAGAGTTAGGCAACTACAAAAACATTTATTGCAAGAGAACTCACTGTGCATCCCCTCGAAGACTTTCATTGGCTTCAGCACCATGTTAGAGGCTGCATCAAAGATGGTATTGTCCGCTAAGCCCAACATTAGTACTTACACCACCAGGCTCAAGACTAAAGAAAACCGGACTATGCACGTCCATGGGCACCAAACCTAGTCTCAAGTTGAAGTGCACCAGGCTTAAAGCTGTCAGAGAATTCAAAGTCGCCAGTGATGAGCCCTATAATTTTGGAAGCAGTGTTGCGATGGAAGAACTGGTATTGTGCATAGCTCTTGTTAGTGAACACTGCTCTGCAAATAATCCAAGAAGGAAGACAACACACAGGCGGTCTGAACGTCTTGTCTGTGACATTCCACCTCTCGCCCATGAATGCGAAATTGGCAAGTGAAACACCCAAGGTCTTCGAGCACACCATGAGGACTGTCCAAATCGACAGATCAACGTGATCCTGAGTGAGGCTGCTGAGAGAGATAAAGGAGTCCAGGTAGTATTTATATGGAACGTAGCTAATGGCCAAGATGCTCAGCAAGGAGATAACCTGATCAAGTCTAATGCAACCTACTTTCTGTGCCACACAACAACATCGAAGGGCGTATGGTCTTGCTTGCATGTGAAGAGCTGACCGCCGAGCTTGTAGATAACTGAGGGTCGAGTATGGTGCGGGAATCAACGATCTATCATAATGTCAACATATTAATCAGGCACACCTTCCCAAGCTGTCTGGTCAACGTTAAATTGAGCTATCAGGTGTTTGAAGTTGTGAGGATTGGCGAGTCTATGACTGCTGATAACACTAAGCTCAGGAAGCTCATAGTGCATTCCAAAAATCTCTTGGATGTCTGTGCGGAGCACATCAGGAAACCAATATTGCAAGGTACATTCTTCAAAACTTACATCTCATAGCCTTGCCATCTGGCAGAGTGACTTTCCACTTTAGTCCACGCTGGACTACCACAATTTCACCGGGGAAGACCATCAACCTAGGTCAACAGGTAATGTCATCAGTTTGTCACAAAAGTTGAATGGGTGTTCAACAACTTACTTGCCCAGCTCAGTTTGAATATCCAGACGTCCTTGTACAGGCACAATGAGGAAGTCTCCATCGCTGTTCACGAATGCTTCCTTGCCCATGTCTGCATTGCACGCATAGGTGTGAATGACAATGCCCTTCTGAAGCATCAGGCTACTGTTCTCTATCATCATCTTGATACCATAGATGAAGTTAACTGCCTCATTTGTCAGCAAAGCATCCGGGCTCCAAGAGACACAAGCAGGTGTGGCACTTTGCTTGGGGTCATTGAGGGAGAATTTGGCAACAAGCTACAGAGAAGTCATGTCAGCAGACGCTACAGAAAGGCTGGAAAAGACTAACATATGGGTTCTGCTTCTTGCGCTTAACAATGCCCTGGTGAACGACAGAAAGATGGATACGATAGAATTGACTGAAACAAAAAGTGAGGAAATGCAAGCACATAAGTGTGTCATAATAAACTTTGTGCTGATTTTGTGCCCTAGGGGCAGTAAACATTATACCATTGACCTGCGGCCTTCATTAGACAACATTTCTGTTACAGGGAGCAGGACCTATGCCTTCATTGTATAACTCATACTTGTTCTTCTATGGCATATTCTGGCCTATGGGTAGAACGTTGGGACTATTGTATGGGTCGTTAGTGTGGTAGCTCTCGGAGCTTGCTGACATAGGCCTTATAGAACCTCTGAGATGAAGTGGTTACCGAAACCGACTTTGTAGCGGTACAGATTGTCCTTGTGACAAGAGATTGAATAGGATGTCCGAGCAGTCATCTGAAAATAGGCTGAGCATCGTTCCAGGTGGATGAGAGGGCACATACCATGGTGATGAAAGTTAATGAATATTAGCAAGTAACACAGTCTGGGGCAAGCATCGTGTTGCTAACACATATTTTGTATCCGGACCAGGCGCGGAATAGAGCCCAATGCTGACGTACAACAGGATGAGCTCTGGTGCTGCTCATTTTCCCGCTACCGAGTCTCAGAGGGCTTAGGTCTCAATTGTGCTAATCACATACTCGTCAGATGTTCTGTGTGGTTTGATGTATGCAATACAACTGGGGATCATGTCGTAAAATAGATGATGCTTGGATGTGGGTCACTTTGCCTAAGCAATGTCACATGACATGCATGTCTGAGAGCCCAATATCCACATTCAGTAATGTCCAAATAAGCTGCAGAGAGCATTGTGGGTCTTTCACCCATGGTGGCTGCCGGCAGCCGGAGAGCCTAGCAGATGGTTGGTAACAGTCGACGTTCTGGCATGGGAGCATGTCACCTGAGATGACTAGTGGCCCTAAAGGCTGCCGGACACCGGACACCCCATTGCCACTCAGGACAGGGCTTTTGTGAAGTGCCAAACTGCCACAAAGCTGCTGTCGAGTCTTGGCCTTACAAAAAAAAAGCTGAGTTATTTTGGACTTTCTCTGCCACACAAACTCACAGCATCTTGAGCTTATGCAAGCAGCCAAGTAATAATTGTGCTTATAGCACTCCAAAGCTTGCCCGCATTCCGATTCTGAGCAGTATATCTGTAAACGTACTCTGTATAATGAAAAAATACTAGGTTCTCTCTAGGTCTCTTTCACGAGAAAAATTAATTTAAATAACTCTGCTGTCCCCCAGTTTTGCAGCGTTTTACGCGCCACTTCGACTGTTCACCTACTTCGTTTCTGTACGAAACCAAGAAGAAAGTGGCATTTGTTTGACAAATTTTATTCAGGTTTGAGCAAGGAAAGTCGCACTTACCATCTTGTGGGCATGTTTCGCAGGGAGGAGTGGCCCGTCACCGCCTTCAGAAGCAGGAATGCAAATGCCGAAAGCTGCCCAAACTACACAGGCAACCAGGAAATTCAGTAGTTTCACAATTTTAGGAATTCCACAATATCGAGGGAAAATTTAGCGATATCGAAATCACACTGGCTGTGGTCAGCCGAGATGCAGATTCTGTCCTGCCAGGAAACCACATGGGCGGATCTCAAACCTATGATTTGAGTGCCTGCACAGACCGGCCATTGCCACCCATGAGCTCATTGTTGCAACGAAACAGTTGAGGAACCTCTGTAATTTACACCACGCAGAATACAGCAAGCTACATATCACTTCCAGTAGATGGACTGGCCGCAGGTCCACCAGTAGTAGGTGTAGACAGGTTTGCAGGCCCTTCGTCATCAAAGCCATCTCCAACATCACCTGCACCATTCCCAACATCACCCGCACCGTCCAATTCCTCGTTATTGTCTATGTCTTCAAATTGCGCGGGGGTGTAGTAATGATTGGGAGGTGAGGATGGAGGTAGCGGTGAGAGCTCATTGGCCATGCCGCTCATGTATCGAGTGTTCGAACGTCCGGATGACGGATCTGGAGAGGGCTGAGAGGCAAGTGGATCACTGGAGACTCGCCTATCAAAATATCTGGTGTTAATGATGTGGCTGCTCGTCTGCTCGTGGGCAGTGGCCTTGCAAAGAGAGCCTACTCGGGCATCCTTACACCTCTTGCACCAATATGATGTTCCAGTGAACTTGAATGCTACGGGATATGAAGACATGTTTGACATTTCTGAGTAGCTGACACTCACCATCTGGATCATCCAGTTTGTCTTCTCCTTGATATGGGTCGGACTCGACCAACCATAGGTCACTGTCGCTCATGGCTTTTCACTAACTTACCACTGCGGACTTGTCTCTGAGCACTGAACAACGTAACGAAGTTGCACATCAGTCACTTCTTGATGGCCCCACACAGGTCAGACTCGGTTTCAGCTCATATGGATTGCAGGAACTGGTCGTACAGAAATCCATGCGGGGAACTGGCTGGATGGAATCTGGCTTCTGGCACAATACGGGCGTCTCGATTTCGAGACACGCAATGCTGCACGTGCGGCGCTGAAATCCGACGCTATCTATTCGAAAATCCTCAAATTGTGAAACTGACTGAATTTCCCGTTTCCCTGTGTAGGTGTTGAGCTCACGTGATAGCCTTGAGCGCGCTTGAGTAGACTTCAAAGCTTCACTTTCAGCTTCGTGTGCCACGGTAAGTTTTTGACTACTACTTTTTCTTACCTTGCTATTTACATGGCTACTAGCTTGTGTCAACGTAAATCATAATGCAGTGAACGTCTGACAGTCCCAGCAACATCTACATGCCATTGTACCCTTGGTCAAGCCTCAACAGTCTCACGTCCTCCTCACGCGCTGGTTGTTCACCATCGTTCCATCTCCGCTCTACCGCAATGTGCGAAAATAAAGCTCATAGCATGGCAGCTCAAGCTCAAGCTTAACCAAGCACTTGGGGATGCGCGCTTCAGCATGCTCCTCCAGCGAGTCGCTCTTCCAGCCCCTCGTCTGTACACACGCTAAGTTATCAGTGAAGATTTTTAGCCCTCTGAAACGATATCCTGGCATATATGCAACTAGGCGGATCTCCGGTATGATCTTTTGGGGGCAGCTGGGCTATCACCGCGCGTGGAGAATGGCCTGATGCTGCAGAGTGGCAGAATAGCTTGGGTGCGTCCGCTCTTCCGTTGATCTGCCAGAATTTGATCACAAAGAGATTGGTACCTGGCTGCGGCAGCCCGGGGGCGAAGCACAAGCCTAAGAAATATCTACATGCAATTGCACCCTGCACAAGTTTGATGCGCGCCGGCATTCTTCACCTACAGGAGTAACGAGTCCCCGGGCGGAATTCGTTATCCCGACTCGGACGTTTGCGTGGCACTACGCGCACTGTCTACACCTAATCGCGGTTACTTTCGACGTGGTTAGCAGACTGCGCCTTCCCTTAATGCGCCTCTCCCACGCACCGCATAGTCCCGAAATGGCGCTTTTCCGTGCAGTGTCCAACGACTTCTTGATCATCTTCACCATTCTTGGCGTGAGCATGTGGGCGGTACAGAAGATAGTGCTCTACACGGTATGTCGCTCCCTCAGACTTCGCCCCCTGGCTGTCTCGTAACCTTTTCATCCCGATTCTTTGTTCCTGCCTCCCCCCCCTCTCCCCCTTTCTCCCGCGACATTGGCTGACCACTCTGCAGTTTGACCGCGTGCGCAAATGATAGTTCTACGTACTCGCGCCTGACGATGAGACCCGGAAAGGGGCCAATGCTAACGACGTCGTCGAGGACAGCTTGCGTTCAGTTGTTGGGACAAAGACTCACCCAGTCCGGCCAGCCGCGGCTGAATCTACGGCTTTGTGCTGAAGAACAAGGCTCGAAAGAAGGGGACTAGAGTAAAGTAAAAATCTTGCAGATCAGAGTGTGCTGTACTTGAACCAAATTTAGGAATGAACGTATCTGGGATTCACACCCGATCTCCTGAAGGATCCCATCATTCGTCGAAACTCCGTGGACTGCCTCAGTAGCATTGGCGCCACAATGCGATGCGTGTATTGGTACGATACAAGGCAGCGACCAGTGTCGCTTTGACAGGACAGCGACTCTTCGTGTGCGGTATCGCCATAGGCCTATCCTCGTCGATAACAGACACCCCCGGACTCTAAACGCCTCAGACTCGCAACGTATTGCCCGTCAGACTGCAGGAGGACGTGTTACCCGTGGTATCATCCGTTGACGGCAGAGTGCCTTATTCGCTATGTCCCGGTAAGCTGATATCCGAAGCCCCGTGTACGCCGATATCTCATTCTCTTAAAATAGGTGGTCCGGTTTTGGTAACCCGCAAAGGATCAATAGCTTGCAGTCAAAGCGATGCATAGGTGGTTTTTGTATCCGTCGATAGTCACATCAGAGACTGACGTGGCCATATTAGAAGCATTCGGGATGTTCTACTCTCTGTATTTGCCCTGGCTGCATGTACCTCCTGGATATGCTGTGCAAGCTGTACGCTATCCGTGGAAGTGTACTCAACATTCTGGTATATGGAATAGATTTTCCAGATAAACAGTGTTCGACGCGCGCTCCGCGAAACGCGCTTACCGATGAAGAACGAGGCTAAGCGCTGCCGCAAGCTCAGCGGATGGTATATAAGAATTCGGACGTAAGTCCTTCGTCTCCTCGCCTCGCCCAGGCATCTTCCACAGCTGTCGCATCATGACCAACCATACCAGCTGGCAGAATGACGTTTCTGCTTTTATTCCTTCACCTGAGCAACTGTGGGTATCTCGGTGCCCTGTCGAAGTGGTGCACAGACTGACGGCTCTGTCAAGGTATCTGGCGTATCTCTGTCAAGCTGCAGGTCTTAGTAGGTTTCGCGATTGTATGGCGTACTCATAGCTAGCTGGCCTGCTAAGCATTGCGCTGCTAGCCTTGCTCATCTACAATTGGATTCACACATTTGGCGAAGAAGTACGCCTCATGTGGTGCAAACGGAGGCCTATTACCGTCGCATGGGTCATCGTAGCTGTTGCTGCGTCTAACATCCCGCAAAGCAATAGAGTACGTCGAGGCCTACGAGAACTTCCCCACACCTACTGATCATGTGCGCAGAGGTCTGCAAAAATTATGTTGAAGCTCCGATACTGGCTCTAGCTGATATGAACGTATTATTGCCACAGCTGCACAGTTCTAACATTTGTAGACAAAGTGTCCGACCTGTTCGACTTTCTTTTCGTGACCGGTACGCATTACTCACTACGTCTGTCCGACTGAGTTCATTAACTCCGCACCACAGCTTTGTTGGCTGCCCGTACATTTGCTGTCTGGAACAGAGATATCTTAATGACGACGATTGTGGTCACCGTTGGCTGCACGTCGGCAGCTATCAACGTGGTAAGTAAATTTGCGAAGCGATCTATAATGCTGACGCACTGAGCTGTCTCTGGTACCTTGCTGCAAATTACGTGCCGCGTGCTCTCCCACAGTATGGCTGTTTCCTGGTGAGCAAAATGGGTGTCGGGAAGTATAACCAACGTGTACGCGCCACACTGTTTCCTGCATAGTGCATTCTCCACAGCTGACCATTGATACTCATTTCAGACGTATTCGGTCAGTCAAGCCTGCATCCAAAGGTTACTCATTGGCCCGCTATGTAGTCTCAGACATAGCAACTTTCCTTGCGATGTTCAACGACTTTGTGGTCATCGTCATCACTCTCCTGAAGACTTTTAGGCATGTACGCACTGCTCGCCGGCTACACATCGGAGTATCTCTGTCTTCAACACTCTTAGAGTGCAGTCAGTCCATCGCCTCCACCACACCTTAGCTTTTACGAACAGCTGATGCCTAGCCGCGCTAGGTGTTACGGATCTTATGCTTTTAGTCTAAGTCGGGTATAGAAACTTTGATCTAAATAAGAGCTTAAGCAGGCCCAAGAGCACTCTTCATTGTGTCCACAATACACATTAAACTCCCGCAAACAGGTGTCGTACGTCCTCCCGCCACCACCAAATGCGCATTGCGCAGGCTGACTTCGTTTATCGCGCAGGAGCTAGAGCCAACACAAACGCTACTAGACACGTGAGTGCGTTTCGCATCCTGCGCCTCGTTAATGAAAGATTTAAAGGATGAACGGAGTGTTGGCGAGCAATTTATTCCTCGAGTTGCGTTCAGCCGGAGAGTCGCTCCGGTCAACTTCGAACCTGATTGATAACGACAGTACGATCAAATTGGAGGGCCTGCCCGAGCAACTGGCGGGTCTTGAAGAACTCAAGGAGAACGAGTCGCAGTTGGACCGCGAAGATGCGTCTGTTCAAGGCCAAGGTACCATTATGGTGGATTATACCGACTGGGACATTGAGTTTGAAGACTCTGCCTCCCAGAGCCTGCATTGAATTGAGAGCCCCACGAGTTATTTCCTTATTGTCTAGTGACGCGGCGGGACAGCCTTAGATACAATCCAGATACCGGCGTCACACTTTTCGTGTGCAAGATCCACAAAGCCGATAGCATACTCATGAATACATTGGCCAGATTATAAATTACATACTCGTTGCGGGGGGATGAAGACCGTACGTTGAGCTGCGTCGAGAAAGGCGGTTTTCGGGAGCGTCGTCCAAGGATAGTGAGGTGGCAGTAGGGGGAGATAAGGGAAGCAAGGTATACAGCCGTTGTCGCGCCGCAAGCCAGAGCCACAGAAGAGACGAGGGAAAGAAGAAATGAATAAAAGAACTATTCGTGAGACAGAAAGGAGAGAAGGGAGATGATAATCAGCACCATCGGCTGAGAGTAAAACAGAAAAAAGAGCCCGATGCATCTCGGTGCATGACTATATACGTTGACAGGCAAGCCCGTCTTGGTGCGCTGTCGGATATCAAGTGTACATGTGATTAGGAGGAGACAGAGGTGTTCGCGCTCGCCGGCGGGTCGATACCCATCTTCTTCCGGACGACCTCGAACGTCTTCAGCATCTTCCTCCGCGCCCCCAGGGCGGCGACACCCTTGGCCTCCAGCGCCGCCTCGTCCATCGCGACCATTTCCTTCCACGTCATATCCTCAAAATTGGGCGTGTACTTGTGGAGCCGCAGGCTCCGCAGCCACGCCGGCACGTCCTCGAGGAGCTTCGGGTCGACCTCCTCCTCGTCCTTCTTCGGGTCCCCGCGCACGCTCGGCGACTTGACACCCGGCGAGCGCATGTTCGACCGCCCGCTGCGCGAGCTCGCCGAGCTCTGCGGCATGCCCATGAACGCGCCCAGGCCGTTCTGGCCGAGCTGCCCGGCGGCGGCGGCCATCTGCATCGTGAGGATCTGCTCGGGGGTGAGGCCCATCGCGGCGAGGTTCGGCATGTTGAACATGTTGTTGAAGGGACTGACGGGGGCCATGCCCGCAAGAGCGGCCATGTTGAAGCCAGGCGCGCCCGGAAGGCCCATACCCAGGCCAGCAGCGTTCATGCCAAGGTTGAAGCCGCCAACGCCAAGTCCGTTCATGCTGCCGTCCGACTGCTGAGAAAGCGCAGGGCTGCGAGAACCGTTCCATCCGGGCTGGCCGCCGAAGCCGTTGTTGTTGGCGTTCCTGAGGCCGCCGGGGACGTTGCGCTGCTGGCCGGGTTGGTTATTAGGGTTATCTCCGTAGTTGTTCTGACCAGCATCGTTATTGTTGTTGAAACCCGTGCTACCCTTCGAGAGGCGATTGAGCTTCTTGGGCGGGTCGGAGATGAGTGGGACACCAGGACCAGTGGTGGTAGTCCAATCATTCAACTTGGCGGCAGCGGCGTCGAGGCTCTGACCAGGGTTGCGCTCTTTGGCAAACATAGGCATCAAGGGGGTGTTGACCATGCTTGCCCAGCTGTCGCCAACCATAGGAGAAAGGGTATCATCAAGGTTCGGCCTCGGAGACTTGAACGCGTTGGCGACCCCAGAGAAGTCGGTACTCTTGGGGCGAGCGCCGCCGGGGGTAGGCGATGGAACAGTAAGTTCCTGAGAAGCGGGCGACGACGAACGCTCATCGACTTGGCCGAGTTGATTAGATCCGGAACCCCAAGTGTTCCTGTCTCCGACAGCGGAGCCCAGAACAGGCGCCGAGATCCGATGAGCGGCGTTGGCAGCGCTGCCCGCTCTCAGCTTAGCACGCTGCTGGGCCAAGGTGGCAGCGGGGTCGTTTCCACCCGCAGCAAGGCTGGCAGAATCAGGGGACAGGAAGTTGCTGCTCATGCTGTTAGAGAAGTTTCGTGCCGTGGGAGACGCGGGAAGGTTCGACTTCAAGCCCGGGGACTTCAGGTTCATCTGCACCAGCTTTGCTTCCATTTGGCTCTGCATAGAGCCTTATGGCCAAATATCAGCTTTAGAGACCCCCCGAAGTGATCTGGCCTGCACTCACCTCCAACAGCGGGACTCAGCAGTGCGGTCATAGGATCTGCTCGAGCCATCTGCTGAAGAACGGTAATGAAGAATCGAATCTGTACTTGGGTAGAGTGTTGCAAAAGACTGTAAAGAGCGGCGGTACGCTCGGCTTCGGAGAGTACCTTGAACCATTGCTCGATGGCGCTTAGCTCTTCCTTAAAGTTCACATCAAGCGACGCGGCAGCCATCTCTTCCTAAAAGGACAATCAGCAAAGTAGATATCCGCAAGAAGAATAAAGACGTACGAGAGTGGCCTCGTAGTTCTGCAGATTCTCGAACCATTGGTCGATAGCTTCAGCTACAACAAGATATCAGAATTCCACAGATGGGATCGCAGGGGATAAAAGAGACACACCTTCAGGCGTCTGAAACATGCCAGAGCCACTGAGAAGCTCGCTGGTGGGACGTCCAGCACCAGCGACGGCTCCGGGGCGAGGAGAAGCAGGCGACAGACCCTGTGTCGCAATGCTCGGTCTGGAGGAAGTGGGCCCCATCGAGGCGCGGAAGTTGGGGGACCTGCCATTGGCAGGGCCGGGAGAGGGACTAGGACTAGGAGGATGAAGGGAAGCCATTTGTGTGTACGAAGAGAGAAACGGTATCGAACAGAAAATGCGACGTCGAGTCGGTGGGGGCGGTGGTTGGCTAACGCGTAGCGTCTAGACGAGACCAGCGGAGCCTGCCGGTCTAGCGAATGACAAAGATAGGCCTTGGACGACGGCGAAGGATGTTTCTACAACCTTGAAGGCGACGACAGTGCTTTCAAGAGCGGTTGCTGCGACGCAGCTGGTGGTGGTACGAATCAAAAACGGCCAGGGATACTTGAAACCGGATAGACGCCCAATGATATTTGCACTTATTTGTGCCAGGGCAAAAGGCAGTGACAAAGGATCAGAGCGAACAACGGCTGGCCATCTCGGCCCTGATCCAAACCTGTTCCTCTTCGTTCCATCTTTGTCGCCGACAGATGGGGGGCGCTGTGCGCTCGTCGTCGTAGCTGTTCCCGAGCCCTTCGAAACCTGCTTTGACCTCGGCGTCCGCCAACGTGACAAGGTTGAACAGGCACCTCGCAGTGCTATATCTCAGCTGCTCCTCACAAAAGCTATCTCGACGCTCTGGACACAGGGCAGGATCACGCATATGGCAAAGTATACCTAGATGTTTCGATCCATCTCGTGCTGTCAGAACATCGCTTGCTGGCAGATATGGATGCCTCCTCTCGGCGGTATATGTTAAATTCCCTCCTCGGCCGGGCTTGGTAATTTCAGGATTGCGGGTTCATTGTTCCATGCTCTGCCAGCGCTGTAAGAATCTGGTGAGTCGAATGCTATCTTCCCACCTCAGCAGCATTTATGTCTAAAGCTTAACGTAAGCATAGTTCCGGGGGATCTAGTATTTGCTTGTCATGAGCAGTGCTTCCCACGCGGTATAAGTCCGAGTGCCTCTTCCTTTCACGACAGGCATGTCGTCATATCCTCTCGGATTCGGTCGTCAGATAAGTGGGGTGCCCAACCTTAGCCACAGTTCATCCTCATATGAAGGCAGTCGTTCTCACCGCCGTGAGACGGATCGCTTCTCAACATTCCGTGCGTGCTTTGCGATCTCCTGTACAATAACCATCTCTCTGCCAACGCAACTTCTTTGCATGCTGCTCGCGCCGCTAGCTGTATTTGTGCGGAGCACTTGCCTTCGGCGGTGCCAGTTGCTCAATGCGAGAACCTTCGTCTGTAGATCAGGGGGCGCCCTTCAGGCTTCGTTGGGCGTGCCGAACTCGCGGCAATGACGACTTCCCCCATACTGCTGTTTTGGCCACCATGGAAGGCAGCTTCGGCACCCTCTAGTGCACCGGTTAGCGGCAAGTGTGGATTCTCTGGAATTCTCGCCGGACCGCAGCACGGATATATAGCTCGTCAACCAGCGTACTGATCACATATCGTTCTCATGACTTCCTCTATGCAACTCGGGTTACTAGTGGCCCTCTTGTGGGCTGTGTGGAAGCTCTTCCGCAACTTGATCGTTCGGTCGCCTCTCGACAACATACCAGGTCCAGAAGAAGCAACCTTCTGGACGGGTGAGGCTCCCCGTTGCTGCACTACGAGGTTGACTCACTGTTCAGTAGGACATGTTAAAGCCCTGTTTAATCGCCATGGCTGGGACTTTCACGACAGGATCGTCCAACAGTATGGACCTGTCTCGAAGGTGTACACGGCGTTCGGTGTACGTGTGATACCTTCGAGGCGCATGCATAATCATGCCAATTGTGATGCCACAGACTCCGGGACTCTACGTGTATGATCCGAAGGCCCTAAACAGTATCATAGCTAAGGATCAGTACACGTACGAAGAGCCAGCGTGGTTCGTTAGGTAAGTGCCGACGTAAAGCAGCGGCCCCCTATGCTTACCCCGTCGTAGATGGAACCGCATAGTACTTGGGCCGTCATTATTCGCGACGTTAGGCAAGTTTATTCCTGGACATTACTGCTGTTATTAAACACCTGGCACTGCAGGGGAGCACCACCGTAAGCAACGCAAGATGCTTAATCCTGTCTTCTCTATTGCGCATATGCGTTGCATGACACCAATCTTCTACAGCGTCGTCCATCGCGTAAGTCGGCTTCTTTGTGCTATTCCAAGGTCTCAATCTCCAGTGGTAGCTCCGGGACGCCGTTTCCGCAAAGGTCAACGGTACTTCTGGAGAGGTCGACGTGATCGGATGGATGACCCGTACCGCACTTGAGCTCATCGGACAAGGCGGCCTCGGATATTCGTTTGACCCTCTTGTCACAGACACCACAAACGAATTCGGTGGCGCGATCAAAGCGTTTGCGTGCGGATGCCCTCTTTTGCTCTGTTGAGGCGCCTCCTTCTGACGTATCCAACAGACCAACGACATTTACGCTGCAAGCCTTGCGCATGCTGTTGCCGTACTCGATACTACCCTACGTCCCGCTCTCGATCCGCCGGCAGGTCGCGAGATGGGTGCCACACAAGAACGCGCAGAAGATGCGCGCGATTTCGGAGACGATCACAGCCCACTCCAAGAAAATATACGAGGAGAAGATGGCCGCGCTCGCCCAAGGCGATGACATCGCCGTGCATCAGATTGGCGAGGGGAAGGATATCATGAGCATTCTGAGTAAGTGGCAGAGCTCGCGCTGCCGATCGGAGCCTTATGGGAGTCTAATCGCAGTACGGGCGAATACGGCCGCGTCTCAGGAAGATAAGCTGCCCGAGGAGGAACTGATTGCTCAGATGTCGTAAGTGTTTCTTCTAGCACCGTTGTAGACATGAGCTGATGCGAGATCACGCGCAGTGCCCTTGTCTTCGCTGCCACAGACACTACGTCTAACGCCCTTGCCCGTACGCTTCACATCCTGTCTGAGCGCCAGGATGCCCAAGACAAGGTTCGCATGGAGCTTATGCAAGCGGTGCCCGTTGGCGAGGATATCCCGTACGATCAGCTTGTCGACCTTCCTTACCTCGATGCCGTATGTCGTGAGACACTGCGCTTGTGAGTCCACAGAGAACCTAGCCCGCACCCAGCATTCATCTCCATTCAAACAGACACCCTCCCGTCAATTTCCTCGGTCGCGAGTAAGACTACCACGCTTGGTCCCACTGCCAGCCGCTGCTGACCTTTGCCTGACCCAGGACGCGCGACGACATCATCATGCCACTGTCGGAGCCCGTGCAAGGCCTCGACGGCACGTCCGTCAGCGAGATCGTCGTCCCCAAGGACACGACGGTCTTCATCTCCATTCGGGGCTGTAACCGCAGCACGGCAATCTGGGGCGAGGACGCGCTGGAGTGGAAGCCAGAGCGCTGGTTGCAGCCGCTCCCGAAGACACTCGGGGAGGCGCATGTGCCTGGTATCTACGCGAACCTGTAAGTTATTCCTCTCTCTATCTGGGTCTGGTGCTAACTGCTACATAGCATGACATTCCTAGGTGGCGGAAGAGCTTGCCTGTAAGTCCTTTTTCGATTATATTCGTACTTAGCCCTGATCTGCATCTGCAGCGGCTTCAAATTTTCGCAGCTGGAAATGAGTGAGCTGTCTTTTTGTATTGCATCCTCGGCGAGTCCGATTCTCATGTTTCTGCAGAGGTCGTGCTGGCCGTCATGCTGCGGTCCTTCCGCTTCCTTCCCGGTGACAAGGAGATTTATTGGAACCTTGCTGGGATCAATTATCCTAGCGTGGGGAAGGAGAGTGCGAAGGCCGAGATGCCGATGAATGTGGAGGCTATTCCAGTCTGACCTCGTCCCGTGGTCCGATCGGTTATAACTGTTCGATCTTTCTACATTCTCAACTCTTTCCTCCGATGCATCGATGATTGGACAGTTTCTATACGCTACATGACGTCTCAGCTACAGTCAGGTTGTGATTTCGTGAATGGACGACGAGGCTTAACATGCTCAGGCTCATGCAAGCCGCTCACAGCTACGCGAAGCAGATTCTTGCCAGCCAACCATGCTACTTCTTATCTACCCCTTAAATATCCCGGTTCTCTCATACTCAGTTTTCCGAGAGGCGGTTCTCTGGGTATATGAACCAGGGCGCAGGATTTGGCGGTGGACTCTGCTTTATCAAGTCTGCCCAAGGCACAGCAGAAGGCCAGAAAATCAGCTCGAGACGCCAGATGAAGTATGTGCTCAGAAATGAGGCAGTGAGCGGTCGCGGCGTAGTGCAGATCGGGGCTCTGCTAGTGGGCGACTCGGAGTCTTTCCTGAACTCTACGAGACTTCGTTTGATGGCGGTAAGTTTTTCTACAAACGCGGAGTTTAATATGTTTACCAGCGTCGCTGATGTCTCTTATAGCGGGGGTTAAGTGTATACAACGCGTTGATATTTGTACAGGCCAGCACGTAGTTTGGATACCTTTTCCTCTGACAACCTTAGACAGACAAGTCGCTATACTCGGTGGTCATGTGAGCAGCCTTTTATACTCTTCATGAAGATATGAAGACAATTGTTCTCACTGTCGTGAGAAGGCCGCTTCCCGGCACTCCGCACGTGGTTCCTGTGCAATAATATCTGCTTTGCGGCCCCCTCATGTGCCCAAGCCGCAGGTTATCTTGTCACCAGACTACTCACCTTGGGCGGTATCAGCCGCCCAAATGGGGAACCGTATAAGTTACGCCGGAGCATTGCCTCCAAACATCGCTGAGCCGGCCCATATGATAGAGGTGAGTTTGTTGCCTCTTTATTGCTGTTTCCAATACCACTCGGGCGGGACAGATTGCAGCGCGGGTATTTAGCCCGTCGATCAGCATACTACCCACTACCCTCCCATCATGACTTCGTCGCTTCAGCTCATACTCTTGGCGGCCCTCGCATGGGCCCTATGGAGGCTCTTCCGCACCTTCGTCATTCGCTCACCTCTCGACAACATACCCGGTCCACAGCGCTCTTCCTTTTGGACAGGTACGTACTGCTTTTTACACTGGCTGCCAGACCGCTGATCTCATCTTTCCGCAGGAAACATCAAAGACTTATTCAATCGCCATGGCTGGAATTTCCACGATACGATTGCTCAGCAGTACGGACCTGTTTCGAAGGTGTATACGGCATTCGGCGTACGTGTAACACTTCTGACACGCGTACACGACTCTCCTCCTCATCGCACACCAGGGCCAGGGCCTATACGTCTATGACCCCAAGGCTCTGAATAGCATCATAGTCAAAGATCAGTACACGTACGAGGAGCCGACATGGGTTATCAAGTAGGTGCCGACGCGGCCTGAGAGTAGCAGCTGCTCACGCTGGTTATCGTAGATGGGGTCATATGATACTCGGACCAACGTTGTTTGCAACGCTAGGTAAGTCGACAGCAGGTCGCTACAGTTGTTGCTGAAGTATAAAGCTCTGCAGGCGAACACCATCGTAAACAGCGTAAGATGTTGAACCCTGTCTTCTCCACCGCGCACATGCGACACATGACATCAATTTTCTACAACGTCGTCCATCGCGTACGCCTGTCTAGCTCTTCTGGGTTACTCCGGCGCCCTTACTATTATCTGCTAGCTGAGGGAAGCCGTCTCTACCAAGATTAACGACAACTCTGGAGAAGTCAATGTCATCGAGTGGACGTGTCGCACAGCGCTTGAGCTTATTGGGCAGGGCGGCCTTGGGTATTCGTTTGACCCGCTCGTGGCAAGCTCCACGAATGACTTCGGTGTCGCTCTCAAAGAGTTCATGTGCGTACGCTCTTCCTGCGGTCTCCTCGCTTCCATTTGACACCTTAGCAGGCCTACATCGTTTTCACTGCATATCTGGCGCACGCTGACGCCGTACCTCACGTCGTACATTCCCATTGCAATCCGCCGGCAGATCATCAGATGGGTACCGCACAAGAATGCACAGAAAATGCGCGCGATCTCAGAGACGTTGGCGGCCCACTCTAGGGGGATATACGAGCAGAAAATGGCTGCACTAGCCCGAGGTGACGACGCCGTCGTACATCAGATTGGCGAAGGGAAGGATGTTTTGAGTATTTTGAGTAAGTAATGGTACTTGCTTTGTTGACTAGGACTCATCTATAGCTGTGGTGTAGTTCGAGCAAACATCTACGCTTCCGAGGAAGACAGGTTACCCGAAGAAGAGATCATTGCTCAGATATCGTAGATATGTCCTTTTGCACGACAAGAGCCGCGCCTCATAGGATAATACATGCAGCGGCCTCGTTTTGGCCGCCACAGATACCACATCCAACGCCCTTGCACGGACGCTCCACCTCTTATCTGAACGTCAGGACGTCCAGGATAAGGTCCGTGCGGAGCTCGTGCAGGCGTCCCCCGACGGCGAGCATATCCCGTACGACCAGCTCGTCGACCTCCCCTACCTTGACGCAGTGTGTCGCGAGACGCTACGTCTGTGAGTCGACGAAAAATTTGACCAGTGCATACTACTCATCCGTATTGGAATAGATACCCTCCTGTCGCTTTCCTCGGTCGCGAGTATGACAATCGTGCTTGGCTCTGCCGATAGCCACTGCTGACCTGAGCCTGCCAGGACGCGCAACGATATCGTCATGCCACTCTCAGAGCCCGTGCAGGGCCTCGACGGCAGACTCGTCAACGAGATCCTTGTGCCAAAGGACACGCCTATCTTCATCTCCATCTGGGGCTGCAACCGCAACCCGGCGATCTGGGGCGAGGACGCGCTGGAGTGGAAGCCGGAACGCTGGCTGACGCCGCTTCCAAAGGCACTCGGCGAGGCACATGTGCCTGGTATCTACGCGAACCTGTGAGTTACCCTATTTAAACTTCAATGTTCAACGGTAATATCCCTCCTCGGGGGAATACACAGTATGACATTCCTCGGTGGCGGGAGAGCTTGTCTGTGAGTCCTTTTCTTACACCTTCTAAGCTCGGTTCTCATTTGCATTTGCAGTGGCTTCAAGTTCTCTCAGCTGGAAATGAGTGAGTCGTCCTTTCTTGGACTGTGGTTGTACCAGACTCGTGTCTGAACGTCATGCCTCTGCAGAGGTCGTGCTGGCCGTCATGCTGCACTCCTTCCGCTTCCACCCCAGTGACAAAGAGATTTATTGGAACCTCGCTTCAGTCAATTACCCTAGCGTAGGGAAGGAGAGCACGAAAGCTGAGATGCCGATGAAGGTGGAAGCTATTCAAGTCTAACCTTGTCTTGTAATCTAAGCGGGCTTTGGTGATCTTTCTATGTCGTTGGCTCTTTTCTGTGGTGCGGCAACGATTTGACAATTTCTATGTGCCGCATGACGCGAAATTCGACAGCGGACCGCGGCGCGACTTCAGCTGACGGCAGTAAGTATTTGTCTGAAGGCAGAGTTTAATGCGCTTACCGGTGTTATTGATGTTTCTTATAGCGCGAATTTTGTATTTACTAGTACGGCGGTTTTATACTGTGTTTTAGTGCCGTTTTGCACCGGATCCCACCTTCGTCTCCACGTGCAACTGAGGAAAAATTGGACTTTTTGGACCAGTTTTGGTGAGTTCTTCTCAAGAAAAAAATTGTACTACCACTTTATGTGAGCACTCGCGGTGTAGTGCAGACCAGGGCGAGCGAGGGCTCCTTTGCCATCTTTCTGTAGAGCGTTTGATGGCGGAAAGTCCATCTATGAAGACAGAGTTTATATTTCTTACCCGCACTTAATCTCTCTTATTGCGGGGTTTTAATATCTGCGGCGCGTTGATACTTGTAGTGAGTATCTTTTCCTTCCATAACACCAGACAGTCGCCATGTCTACTTGAACTCGGTGGTCAGGTGGATAGCCTTGGCTATTCTTGATCTTCATATGAAGGCAATAATTCTCACTATCGTGAGACGGGTCGCGTTGTAGAGGTAGATTCGGCTTACGCGGGTCGACGTCGGTGCGGTAGGATGAAGGAGGGGATATGGTCGTCGAGGGAAAAGAAACTTGAACGCGCGAGCAGCGAACTCTAGTTACAGAGACGCCGCGAGGGCCAAAACCTACAACCTAATACTTAAGCTAATATACTGTTCGACTAGACTTACTGCTCGTGCTCGTGCCCGCGCTCTCGCGGGCGGTTCTATACTTGACTCGAAGGCGGGCGGAGGCGACAGCTCACGCGCGACAGGGGAATGACACTCGAAGGGAGATTCTGGGGGAAAGAGGTGCTTGCTCCATTCGAAGGTGGGAGGTCACCTTTATAATACATGACAAAAGCGCCACTCCGCTGCCGTGCTCTCGGCCGGAGTCACTGCGTGTCGGGCCTTTCTAAGGATGGTGGCAGGAGACAATGTAAAAATAGCTAGAAAGAGTATGTGTTTAGAGAGGATATACAACCCGTGGTGTGG